GCTGGCAGCCCCGCTCTCCTCCCCAGCGCCGGCTTTGCTTTTAAGGTGGAATGCCAAAAATCACGCTGCAGCCGCTCTCTGCTGGAGCACTGGCTCGCAGCTCGGAGCTCTCACCCTTCCCTTTCTCCCCGCCGCTATCTCCAAGGTGCCTTTCCAGCTGCTCGGGGTTCTGGGGTGAACCGAGGAAGGATGCTCCGGCCAAAACCCGAGGCTGGCCCGGCATCACTTCCCACAGCACTGCCAGCCTGCTCTGCCCAGGCAATCACAGACATACATAGAGTTAAAACAAAAATCTGTACAGTGTGATAGAAAAATGTTCAAGATCAGATGCACAACCGCAGAGCTGCACTTGCATATACATATGCTGGAAAAAATAGGACACAGTCTGTGCTTTAAATTCAGCTTCATGGCACTCCTTTACTCCAAAATTGTACAAAGATCAGAAAAGATTTTTTAAAATTGCATCAGGGCTTATGATGCGTGACTGGGAAAAAAATCAAGTCTTAAATTTTTGTCCTTACACCTCCTGAAGACAGAGACAGCCATTTAGGACCTGACTGTGTGTTTAACACCATATTCCCAAGTCTTAAAATGTAGTGGACACAGGTTTCCTGCATCCCTCCTTGCACAGAGCACCTCCCACTCTCTGCATGGACAGCCCTGATACTGCAGGCAAAGTCACCTCTCCACATGGACACATGGCACAAACAGGGTGTCTACCCAAATAATTACATTTTCTTATTAAACACAAAACGAATGACACTTCTGTAGAAGCTACAAATTAGGACAGGATTTTTTCCCATTTGACACTTCCAGACTATGCAAAGCAAGTCCTTCATCCTTAAAGGATGCTCTTGGTATTAGCACCTGTTCAAACGCTGGCAGCAGGACTGAATTTTGATGATCACTTTAAAGAACTACTTTCTAAATGCTGCCTCTTCTCTAGTGGTATGGTAACCACACCTGCAAGTTCAGTTTCTGACATTCAGAAAAATCAGAACCCAAAATACTCTTAGTGGGACCTCATTCCCACTGCAGAAGGGAGCCCTCTCTGCCTCCTGGGGGATGCTGAGCAGCAACCTGCCAGCACAGCCAGGCATTTTTAACACCAGCTTCAGCTGTAGCAGCATTAACCATTTAAAATACCGTAAATCTAACTTTATCAGAACCAGGCAAGCATTTTGTGTCTCAGCACACTCCCTTCATCCCTTCTCAGATGGACCAACGTCTTTAACCCCTCAATGACTGGGCAGAAACAAGCACAGCAATAATGCACCCAGAATACTCCCACTGACCCACCCCCATGGCATGGTGTGGCTGGGAAAGGATTTCTCTGTCAGCTCCCCATGCACCCATAAATGTGACTTTGGTAGAGCTGCACCCTCTGCTGTAAACCCCAGCTCTGGTTGCCAGACACAGAGCAATGCAGAACTGCACAACCCCCTTGTGAGCTGTGCTCAGAGCAGGTACCTGCCAATGCTTAATGCATGTCTGTACCACATCGTTTAAAACACATTAATGCATCCATACACTTTTCAATTGATTTTTCCATCCATGCCCACATACAAATCCTGTGAAGCCTGTTTAAAGAACCTAAAACTTTCAGTCACCAACAATTAAGTAAAATAAACTAATAACCAGAAACAACATATATAGAGCAAAATTTTCCACCCATCAAAAGCAAAGAACATGGCACAAAACACATTTGAACCAGTGCAAAAGAGTAGAAACCCCAGGAAAGGGATCAAGCAAGCAAATGAACACACAAACAGCTCATTTATGCACACAAATTAATTACAGGGCCATAAAGCAAAGTGCTGCCTAGAGAGGAAGCAGGAGCAGCACTGCTCTGGTTCCCAGAGTTTTCTGAAGGAGGCACACAAAGGCAGAGTGACTAAGAGCAATCCACATTAAAGAGCACTTACTGCTATTTTCTGGAGAGTCGTTTTCACTGATGTCCATGTGTCCAGTCTTCTGTCCAGGATTAGGATAAATTTGGTGTCAGACTCATGCTGACTGCAAGATAAGAAAATACCAATAACCAGATAACGTTCCAAGAAAAGTCACTCTGTTCCCAAAAAAAACCCAAATCCAAGAACTTGGAATGCAAACCACATTTTAGTATTTCTGCAGTTCCTGAAATTCCCTTTGAAAAAAATTTCCTGAACGCCCAAACTCTTTCCAGGGGAGCTTAGCAACAGGACAAGGGGCAACAGGCACAAACTGAACCCAGGGAATTCCATCTGAATATAAGGAAAAAATTAGCACCATCCCTGCTAACTCCTGTGCTTGGCAAGGCAAACATACAGGGATTACTCAGAGGTAGCACAAGGCAGACAATACTTGGAAACTCTCTACAGGAAAGGGAAAAAGTCACTGGAAGGCAGTGCAGGAGCTTCCATTCAGTGCACATCTCTCTGCTCTGCTCTGTGGCACCACAGCCCTGACAAACACATTTCAGAGGAATTAGCAGTGGTGCTCAAAGGGATAAGGACTCCAATTCCCCCTGACTCACAACAACAGCTGACTGAAGGCACGGAGAGGCTCCCAAGCCACCCTGTGCCACATCTTATGGATCTGCAGCCTCACACCCAAAGTGCAAAGGTTTCACTTGAATTCATTCCGTGGCTTTGAAGTGTAGAAGAAAAGAGCAGGGAAAATGAGCATCAAATTTTACATATGGGTCATACACAGAACACATGGAATAAAGTCTGAGCACAGTGAGTCTGACTTTTCAGCCAAAACCTTTATTTGCTTAGAATGGTTTAGGCAGTGTGAGCCAGCTCTGCAGGTTTCTGTCAGCTCTGTTCATCCCCACCATGGGCTAAGTGACCCAGGTGGGTGGGAGCAGGCCAGAGGATCCTTTGGTTTGAGGCAAAAATAAAACCCTTGGGTTTTTCAGCACACTCTAAAATTTTAAAAGCTACGTCTCTGAGCTATAAAGAACAATTCCCAACTCCTCTGGTGTTTCCCAAGGGCCTGTAAGTGAAAAACATAAACAGTGTTTACACAGAACTGCTGTAATCGTAATAAAACCCGAATGCAACCCCCAGAATGCAGAAAAGGCAGCCAGGCTGGGGTGCAGTGCCAGTTAAAAAAGCTGAAGTCATTAACTCGGGACCAGGTTATGCTCAGGGAGCACCTCTGAGCATGTTAATGGAATTTTATCAATTCCCTTACAGAAACAGAGGGAAGTTCCCAGCAGTCTGACAGCCTTGACACCCACTGCAAGAAATCTGTCATTTGTTCTAGGCCAGTGGAGAAACTCTGAGACCATTTGCAACCCAGGCCTTGCAAGTTTATCCGATTTCCAGGCTGTGATGTACCTTTTAGAGTGACAATAAAAATAAATCAATGCTTTCTACCAAGGCTCTGAGGGCTCTTTGTCTGCATCCAGCAGCAGGAAGATGGAGACAGATAACCTGGGCAAGGATTGCCTCTCTCTGGGTGCTTCTTGTCACTTTTGGATGCACCAGACTGAAAATAAAGACCTGGGATGTTTTGCAGGACTTGAAATTGGACCCTGGAGGCTGCAGCTGTGAGACTGAGCACAGCACAGAGAGGCTCCCTGGTGCTGGTGGGATCAGAGCACCAGGACCTGCCCAGTGCTGAAATCCAGGGATATTTACAGGCACCAGCACCTCCACTGTGCCACTGCTGTGTGTCACAGCCCTGGGCACTCTGCACCTCACCTCCAGCCTGCAGCAAACACCAAAGCTTGTCCAAACACCAAAGCCTGTCCAAACACCAAAGCTTGTCCAAACACCAAAGCCTGTCCAAACACCAAAGCCTGTCCAAACACCAAAGCTTGTCCAAACACCAACAAGCTGAGTCAAAGAGAGAACAGAAGAGGACAGAAGAGGATGTGACATTTCAGCAGGAAGGGACCCACAGTGATAACCTGTCCAGGTGTCTGACCAGGCTGACCAAAGCCAGGAGATGTGTTCAGGGCATTGTCCAAATGCCCCCTGAACCCTGACAGCTTGGGGAACCAATGGCATCTCCAGGGAAACTGTTCTGGTGTTTGACACCCTCTCAGCAATAAATGCTTCCCAGTGCCTGCTCCAAACCTGCCCTGGCAGCTCTGCACCATTGGAGCTGGATGTGCACAGAGCACAAAGTGGGCACCCATTGCTCATTCTCCTTCCAGCCCATGCACACAGGCACCTCCTGCAGCTGCCTCCTGCCTGCAGCATTCCCAGCAACACTCACAATTCACTTGCCTGCAGAGCCACCTTCCTCCTGGCTCTGCTGGGATTGCTCCTGCCCTGAGGAGCAGCTCCCAGCATCCATCTCCTTTATCCAGCAGTGATTTCCAGGAGAAGGGTGCCTCGTGAAATTCAGCTTCCCAAAATACTCCAAACCATTCAGCCTGCCCAAACACCACAAAGCTGCCAGCCCTGAGGTGTTCCCAGGCTGCACAGGCAGGACACCAAGCAGCTCCTTGGCAGGGGTGTGTGGTTTTCATCTGCCCCTGCACAGCCAGGTAAGCAGGTGTTGGTGCACCCACCTCACCCTGATAGCTGGGGAAACGAAATACCACCCAACCCTGATACACGGGGAAATGAAATACCACCTCACCCTGATATTTGGGGAAATGAAACACCTCTGGCAGGGCAATATTTCCCTCTTTTAGGGACTTTCTGGCCAAAGTCTGACTGTAACCCCACACTGTGGTGCTGCTGGGGGGTGTGCACCCGGGGCTGGCACAGAGCTGCCACCCTCACCAGGTGAGGCTGGCCTGGTGCCCTGAGCAGCCCCCAGGTGCTGGGCAGCACACGTTCCTGAGCTGGTCAGACACTGGGCAGGCGGCTGAGGGGGCAGGAGGGGCAGAGCAGGATGATCAAAGTGCTTTTACCGAAACATGCTGAACGTGTTTGAGTCAGCAGCGAGCTCGCAGCTCTCATTAGTCTCTTGATTGAGTCTGACCCATTCCAGGGACAGCAGGAGTGCTCATCATGCTAATGCCAGGGTGGGATGAGGAGCCTTGGAGAGCCAGCCAGAGCTGGGAAGGGCAGATGCAGAGCAGGGCTGCCTGCACAGGGTGAAAACACCTGGCAGGGTCCTGGGTCCTGTTCCTGCTGGCCAGGAGCCCCTGAACCCTCAGAGAACATCAAAAAGAGGACAGAGGAACCAGAGGCTCCTTTTTGGGTTTTGTTTTTTGAACAGAGGTGCCTAAACACTCCACATTTCTCCCAGAGCAGCTGCTGGTGGGAAGCTCCCATCCAGCTGCTGTCAGCCTGCTCTCCCTGCAGGACACAATTTGCCAAAACAGGCATTATTCGAGCAAATGAAGGACTCCAGGTAACTGAGCCACCAGGCTGAGCAGCAGGAATGAGGAGGGCCATTAATCCAACATTAACCCAGCCCACAGCCCTATGTGGGGCACAGGCAGTGACAGCAGCTCAGCCCTCACACGTGGGCAGGCAATGGCAGCTGCTGCTCTCTGCTGAGCCATCAGCTGCCACAGGGACCCCAAAGGCTTTGTTCTGTAATTAGTCTCTTCCTCTGGCTCCATTTCTCTTTTTCCACAGCAGTGACTCTCTATTTGTACACGTCAAAACATTATTTTGCAGCGGCATGGTATATTTAAGCAGTGACACATGCCAAAGCTTGAGGAAAGCTTGCTGCTAATTAGAAACTTAATCAAGTAAATGTGTGGTACATTCCAGCTGCCAGGTCACAGGGATTATGCCCAGTCCTTCCCTGCAGCTCCTGGCACACACAACACCTGGACACTGTAAGGGCTGGCACCCCTGTCCTGCCCTGAGAGCTGAGGGAGCCCTCACCCACCCTGGGGTACCTGCAGAGCCCTGCCCAAGGCAGGCAGGACCCCCCTGTGCCCCCCAGGCTGGCACTGCTCCTACCTGGGCACTGAGGTCAGGCAGGTGAGCACTCTGTGCCCTGTGCCCACCCAGGGGTGACACTGTTCATACCTGGGCACTGAGGTCAGGTAGGTGAGCACTCTGTACTCCACAGGGGTGACACTGTTCATACCTGGGCACTGAGGTCAGGTAGGTGAGCACTCTGTGCCCCTGTGCCCACCCAGGGCTGACACTGTTCATACCTGGGCACTGAGGTCAGGTAGGTGAGCACTCTGGCCACGCTCTCCTCGGGCACCTGGTTGAAGCCAGCGTTGTCAGGCAGGGTGATGATCCAGGCCTTGTCCTTGCCCCTTCCACCTGCAAACACACAGGGCTGGAGGCTGCCCTGGCACTGCTGAGGGGCACCAGCAGCTCAGGGCACTCACTGCCCCTGGCACAGGGGTTTCACAGCACCAGGGCAGCCAAACACAGCCAAATCTGCCTCTGAGCCCAACTCACAGGTGCTGAAACAAATGCATTTCCTTCATTCACTGAGTGTGCTTTACACAGCACAGCAGAAGAAATCAGAAATTCAAGGGCAAACACACACACTGCTCTGGAACCTACAGAAATGCATTTCACAGCAAAGTGCTTGTAATGCATGGAGTGCTGGGAGTCAGAATATTTCAGTGTGGCACGAGACAGAAACCCAATCTGCTGTTCCAAAGTGCCCCCATGATTTATTAACAGCATTTCTAGTGGCACTGGATACCACCTGGTGGCTAATAGCCTGTGGGAAGCATCACTGACAAACAGCAAGAACTTTCTCTGGAGAATTTCATTACCACAGGGAAAGAGGGACCCTGAAGATGTTCTGTACTCACCAGACAGAAAGGCAAACTCCTTCATCAGATCATCACTGATGTCCTTTGCACAGATGGGTATTGCAGTTTCTGGAGAAAGGGAAAACCAGCAATCAAAATAAAGCACAAACCCAAAGCAAACACATTTATCAATGAGTTAATCCAAAGGTGGAACTTCCCTAAACTACACATGAAATTGTGTAATAAGGGATATGGGGACCTTAGAGATGTTATTTCTCATGGTTCTAATGACTCCAGCAGGGTGAAAGCCACAAGTCAGCAACAGATGTATTGCACCAAGCGCACCAAGGGAGCACTGCCCTCCCCTCAGTGGGCCATACCCAGGGTAATGTTTGTATTCTGCAGCCAGCAATGCCACTGCCCGTTTCACCAAGGCCCAGTGCCTGCCAGCCCTGGCCATGCATGGGCTGAGGCTCTGCTGGAGCTGCAGCGCCCACGGCTGCTGCCCTGGGGCCGGGCTGGGCTCCCAGGCTGGGACAGTCCTTAATTCTGCACAAATGGCTCCTGAAATCAGGCTTCCACCTGGCACGGGGCCATTGCAGAGGCTGCTGTTCCTATGCTCAGTTATTAGATCAGTTCCTAATTAAATCATGGCAGAGCTGTTGCAATGCCACATTGAGCACCAGGATCATTCAGAGGCAATGGAGCACAGCAGAACAACACACACAAGCTCACCTCTCCCTGGGAGAAGGGAACAAAGCCCACACTGACTAAACACCACAGGAGCTTACAGCTGGCAGACATTTTCCTGGATTATCTATAAATGCAATGACAGCTAAAAATCAAACATCCTTGTTCCTGCAAATAAATGTTTTGAAGCACATCTGTACAGATTAAAGTCCTTGGGCTTTCTGATAATCAAATTTTAAACACTGATTATTTCCCAGAGTTGGTCCTAGGGAATAATCTCTGGCTGTTTTAGATCAGACAGGCTGCATACTTCAGCACACTCCAGCATAATCAATATTTATTCTATTTCTCCTTTTTTCAAAAGCTTTCTGGTCACTTCTCCTTTATCTGCAGGGTTTCCAGGCCTGCTCTGGCTGTGGGTGCTGCAGCCCAGGTGTGTTTGGGGGTTTCTGTGGCTCCCAAATTCCCCAGCCAGGGCTGCTCTCTGCCCTTCCAGGCACACACACGCTGCTGGGTCCCTCCTGCAGATAAAAATGGGATTTTTGCTTGTTGAGCATGGAGCCCCAGCCCCACTGGCATCTACAGAAATATTCTTGATTTTAACAGGCCCTAGAGTTGGTCTTGGTGAGGAAGAAGTTTGTCTTGCAAAGATATTTCAAATATTTGTCTCTCATTCAACCTCTTCACCCAGCCTGAGGACAAGCAACAGCAAGAGATTTCTCCTCTATTTGCTGATTCCTTTTTTCACCAGGTCAATGGCTTCATACTGATAAAATTCACATTTAACAACTTAATGAGCTCCAACACCTGAACCGGATGACACCAAACGTGTGTGCCATTGAAAGCACAGGACACAAGCCCATGCTGTGCCCGTGTGTTTGTCACAGATCAGCGTGGGCTGCCTGGTCCCCAGGCCCCACAGCCCCCCTGGCCTGGGCTGGGACACCAGAGCAGCCCCAGCCCCAGGCTGGCAGCAAACCTGGGCTGGGCTGGGTCTGCACTGCTGTCACTGGTACCTGCACTGCAATGGGGCTGCTCAGCAAACAGGCTGCAGAAAGGGAGCTAACCTTTAAAAAACCCATCATTTAAAGGTTTCGCAAGGCATTGTCTCCCTGAGAGCCCTGCCAAGGTGCAGGAGGGGTTTGTGCCCATCCTGTGGGACAGCCCAACAGGACACAGAGCAGGATGCTGCCCTGGGCAAGGCCAGGCACAACAACACCCTCATTGTGCTTGATCAGAGCCACTCCTTGGGCAGCCCACCCATCCCTGGCACCCTCCCTGTGCTGGCCACTGAGCCCAGCCTCAGGGCAAACACTGGGGAACCAAGGGCTGGCACCAGCCCCAGAGAGCATCCTGCTGTCCCCTGCTGTCAGTCTGTCCAGCCAGGAC